GTGTGTGTGAAGCTGGCATCTCATTTCGTGGAAAATCATTAATTGTTGAGAGATCCGACTTCCTTTCTAATAGTTCTAGAGTTCCTGATACATTAAGGACGTTCTCTCAAAAATCACTTTTCTTAGAATTTCTTTGTACTTTGCACCATATGTGAATTTAAGTATCCCCTATACGTGGTCGCAAGCGCAACATTCATAGCGGGATGAAAATTTGAGATATTCGACTTCAAAATTTCAATTTTTAATATAGGTTCCGTATGACAGATCACTACAAAACGCACATTTTGCTTGACGAACGTTAGCCAGTCCTCCGGAGTTAACGTGATTGCTGGAACTGATATATCTTACTACATGCAATAATAATAATGTTATTGTTATCTATAATACTATTCTATCTATATAATTAAGAATAATAAGAATGTAATGTCATTACTCATTACATAATTACGCAACATAATAAGATATTACGTCGCGAGCACGCAAAATGCTATACGAGTATGACCAAAGAAGGAATATATGTACAACCTGATGCACGATCAAGAGTTGGAAGAGGGTTGTACATAGTATCCCGGTGTAAAGGCAGGATTTATCGGGGGGAACTGGGGGAAGTCCGCAGTACTTGGCCGATTGAAGGTATGCGCACAGTCATGCGCTAACTTCAATAAGTTGCCAAATTCTTTTCGTAATTACAAATGCTTATTCGTAAATCATAATTCTATTTAGTATACTCGGGAAAGTGTTTGTACCAATGATAAGAAGTACATTATTATGTTAAAATTAAACATGTAGTATACTAAAAGATTATAAAACTTTCGAACTAGATTTTGAAAAACGTGTCATTTGCGCGACTGGCGAGATCCAAGCTCAATTAAGTTGCTCCGTGAGCTTTCATCCTGGAAGGGACGCATCTGCGCCTATGGAAATAATGAGAATCTATCAAGAGGCCGGTAGAGATGCGAGCAGAGCCATTATGTCTCACATAGATCGTAAGAGAACCACGAATTCTATCTGTTCATCAATTTCTAACTTTTTAAGCAGACACAATTGAGAATGGATCGCTGCAGTTTATTTGCTAGGTACGTTGATAAAAAAGAACACCTTATGGAATTCGCTGATGCTACCATGCAAATGTTACATTCAATTCGACCTGTTCGGTACCGAGTGTCTTACTATCAGTTGAATCCGTCGGTTGATATGTTGTCAGATGCACAACGTATCAAACGTATTGTACGACTGAAGTAAAAGAAAAATTGAATCGAGTTCTCCTGAGTCACGATATACACACCATATATCGGCTGGTACGTAATTTTTAGTCAGATTGAATCTAATGCTGACGTATCTCGAATTATAAATCACTTTGACAAAAGAAGGTGTTAGAATTAATGTCTAACTTGTAAGTATTCTTTGTATAATTTAAGCAATATGTAAGTATAATTACTCTTGAGCATGCCAATGAGAGCACCCCGCAACTTCTGTCTCATTTAGTAATTCTTCTAAAGTACCATGCCCTGTTTCTGTCAGGCATGCGGCTAGAGATTCGGCCGGATTACTTAGTGGTAGAGTCCGACCGAAATTTCGGTTTCGGTTTCGGTTTCGGCCATTTTCGGCCTAAAATCCAGATTTCGGCTTGATTTCGGTTTCGGCCGAAATAGAGAGAAAATTTCGGTGAT